GTGATTATGACCCGTAAGGCAATTACTGAGCACCACTCCACCATATACAGTAGCCTGCCTGACTCATGTAATGTGAAGATCGAAACTAGAGGGGCTGGTTTAACACCATTTACCTCCCACAATACATAAACGGAAGAAGCAACTGACACTTCTCGTGAAACCTTGTGGAAATAAATACTCGAACTACGGACTGTTTGGGATTAGCCGTATTTTACACTGCGCATAATATAAGGGCATATGTCTCCGAAAATTTCATAAAAGGAACATTTAATTCTACTTTTGCTACTTTATATACTCTTTTTTCTCCTGCATGAACAAGCTTCCTCTACAATTAAAACGTAAGTGTATCTAGTACACCTGATTTTCACTTTTTCCGGAATTTTCAGCTGTAGAAGTAACTTTGGTAGTGCACCTTATATACGACTAGCCCCATCATTCTGTCTTACGGGAACCTGGTAATTGGTAGTTTTATAGATGGGGAAATAGGATGGCAATCAACGAAAGTTGTAGAAATAAGTGCGAAAAGTCGTAAAATTTAGTCGAATTTGTTTAACTTGGTCCGCTATATAGCGACGGATTAGAGCGCGTAAATCGAAAAAATAAGCAAAAAAGACAAAACTGAAGAAATAAGAGGTATTTGAATAATCGCCAGCACCAGCTCCGCGTAGTCCCGTCAAAAATTCCGGACTGGAATGGGCGTCGGAATGTAAGCGCACGCGTTAAGTTGTAAAGCAAATAAAAAAGGGCAAGTTGATTGAATGTATTTAGATTCTCTAAAGGGTATCATTTATGCTGAAAGAATAGACCATTAGTATGCATGGTAATCAAGATAATAGTTAGATAACGATACGTGATTTGAAGAGTAGACCTTGTCGAATGCCTTATCAATTGTATGACTTAGTCCGAGGAAATATCCAACTTTATTAATTGGGATGGCATAACACGAACATGTCAATGCCTAGGACTCCTAGAAATGGTTATAAACATCGCTGTTGGTGGTATTAACGAAGCACCGTCGTGTTGTTGTGTTGACAGACGCAATGTAGCCTGTATGGAGATCTGTACCGAATCTAAGATTTCCGTGTTCGGGTGCATCTTAATATTTGTAGTGTGTGATTCCTGTTGTAGGTAAGTTGAAACAGCCCGTCTATTACTTCTAACTACCTGAGCTAAAATATATGTATGTGCATCGCTTCCGCAACTACTAATTTTTTTTGATTAAACGAGGATGTCGTAGCTGCCTTGCCAAATCACTCAAGTCTGAAATCAATAGGCTAAAATATCTGAGTACTTTGAGAAGATAACAAACCGAATCAAGGCAAGGGGTATTGCACTGAGTAAAGGCGAACTCAAGACAAGTTAAAACTATACCTACTGAAATGTGTTTAGTAGGTACTTAAGTATATTTTAAGAGTCATCAGCTACAATGGTTACTTCTGGATTCTTTTTCAAGGAAGATCGTTCCTTTACTACTGTAGAACTCACAGAGACGCGGAGAGTTTTCAAAGAATCATTCCTTCTTTTAGACCAAAAACAACAAACCAATCCCACAATTTCCCGACGGTGATGTGCCACATCTGGCTTTTCGTCTGCACAAACTGCACCGCCCACCCACCCGTGCCCAACGCACCTACCCCCTTCCCAGCAACCTCAGTCAGCCGCTCTATCACACACCAGCTCTGCTCTACAGCCTCTTGCCACAGCCGGTCCTTATCAACGCTGCCCACCCGGCGGATAAGCGCAACGACGCAAATAGCATGTTTGCTGCCGACTCGCTAAACGAATTCGGTCTGCGGGATGCATCCTGGACGGAACTGAAAAAGGCCTCCACCTTCGAGAGCAGGGATCCATGCAAACCGCCCACCCTCCCGATATACGATGCCGGCGTAAATTTGTCCTGGCGTCAAACTATACAGATTCTACTGACAATCCTCAGCCAACAGAACACAGAGTCCTACAAGTACCTCT